ACGATCATCGATCCAATGCACAATCTGTTCCTTGGCACGACAAAGCGGATGACCAAAATATGGATCGATCGAGAACTGCTCACAAGAGCCGACTTAGAGCAAATGCAAGTACTCGCAAACGGCATCGTCCTCCCGCCCGATTATGTTACCTTGAAGCGTAAAATCGAAAGTGGTTTCTCATTCATGACCGCCGACGACTGGAAATCGTGGTGCATCGTGTACTCGCCTTTGGTGCTCGATGGCCATCTTCCGCGTATGTATCTGCAAAACTGGTTGATATTCGTGGATGCATGTCGTTTGTTGGTTAAGCCGTCAATAACTATGGACGAAATTGCAAAAGCAAGCACTCTGCTCCAGCAGTTTTGCACCGGTTTTGAGCGACTGTACGGCGCGGAGGAAGTCACACCTAACATGCACCTCCACATGCATTTGGACGCAACGATTGAAGATTTTGGACCCTTGTATGCGTACTGGCTCTTTTCTTTCGAACGATACAACGGGTATCTAAAGGAGATTGATACCAACCAGAAGGATGCTTTTGAGGTGACGTTCATGAAGAAGTTCTTACAGAAGACCGGAGCTCGCGATTTTGTCCGATCGTTTGAAGCCCTCTTCGAAAATCGCCAACACCATTTCAGCTTTCTAAATGCTTTTCTGGACCTTGTGCAGCCGATCCCACAAGCCGTCAATGTTATGCAGCATCAGTTCGATGTCCATGCGTTTCTGGCTTTGTCCACCGATGTTAGAGCCACTTCTGTCACAGGAAGCGAGCCGCTACCGCCAGACGCATATCCTTTGGACTACGGACGGATAGCATATATGCCTGCTCAACTGTATGATTTCTTGTTCGAATTTTACCAAGTAGCATATGGTGTGCCTTTCCGTCGTCATAACCAAGCTGGTGATGGGCAAGGTTTTGTCAGTGATCAATACTGGAAAATCAAGACGATAACAATGATGGGACAGACTTACCGCAGCACCGAGGCGCGATCGCGACGGGGTGCATATGCGCAGGTTCTCTTCCATGCTGACGACCGTGGGGAAGTAATGGCTTGGCCTTGCGAAATCCAGTTTTTCTTTCGCCATAAGCAGCTTGTTCACAGTCAGCAGACCGAGCATATTTTTGCCTACGTCCGTTGGTACGGCATCCACGGAGACAACGACGGCCAACGATTCTCAGACTCTTTTATTGAAACTTGGCGTAGTCGGTTTCGAGCTCCAGCGTGGGATTGCATTCTACTGGTTCATCGTTTGTATGGACAAATCGCTGTCGTAAAACTCGGCGCACAGTCAAGCGCAAACGCACGAACAGTTGTTATCCCTTTGCCAAAAAAAATGTTGGCGTAATCATCCCACTCTTTGCTTTTCCTCTTTTTCTCGTCTTTTTCGTTTTAAAAATTCTTCTTGACATACGCTTTCCATACAAAGTACGATTATGATCTGTTTCCAGGGGCTGCAGTTGGGAAGAGCAAGTAGCCTTTTTACCAGCATTTGCAAGTAATCAGTTTAATGGTGCGAATGTGAGTAAGTGTAAGAAAACAACGCGTAGATAATATGAAAGGTGAAAAGGGAAACCCCGTTTTTTTTCCAAAGTGGCTGAAAAATAAGTTGTGCCATCAGTACCCCCAATTGCAACATCACTGTGTTTGTGCCCACCCCAAACCCACACGGCATACAGCCATGCGACCATTTTATTCTTTTTATTAATTTTAAACATCTTCTACCCAACCGGCCAGCTTCTCACGAGCGCTGTCAGGCAAGGCAACAGGATCAACACCATCCACTCTCGTCAACTTGTTGGCCTCAGTAGCAGGACTGTTCGCATCTAGATGCTGTAAAAACAAATTGGCCTGCAAACAGTTTGTCAAAATCTCTGCCAAAGAAGCCACGACGAACCATTCCAAAATACATACCCTTTCATTGCGCCATTGCTGCTTACGGACCACAACGCGCTTCCCTACTTCATCAGTGTATTCACCGTCCGTCTCTTCTTCAGACATAAACTCAACTTGGAGTAATGCCTCCCCTCCTGGGTAGGACGCCTCCAACTGGACCTGATGCCGTCGGAAGACTGCGAGACGTCGCTTGAACTTCTACTCAACATATATCATGAGACTAATACTAACAGCATACATACTATATCTATTACCATATGACGACGACCATTGCGGCGGTTGATCACCTTTCTTCGTGGTGCACGCTCAGCTGACTGACGATTACTCGTGCGCGTATTGTCAAAGTACGTGTACACCTTTTTGGCCAGTTCATCATACGTGATTACAAACTGACCGAGGCCTAGTACGTACTCGATGATACTGGCACGAACGCTACGGTTATGGGTGCTTCGAAAACCTTCGTTCCAACGAAAGCCTTCCTCTTTCAAAACGTTGTGATGATGGCGTATCGCATCCTTTATATAATTATATCAGGATATCATGCTAGTTACTTCCATTAAGAAGATGTTATCAACTTTCTTACAGAAATATCCGGTGCACGGGTCATTTGCGCGCCTTGGCCATGAGTACTGACCACAGCTAGGTTATCCGCAACTTGTGTTGCTGCTTGTTGTTGCACCTGCGCCTGTCGAGCAACCACGTTTGCCATAGCCTGCAGTTGGTGTTCTTGCGTGGCGCGATGTGCCTCCAGCGTTCTTATACGATCTTCCATCGCCAATATGGCATTGGTGGAATTTTCCCGCTCAACAGCAGCCCGACGTTCTTCGATGCGTTGCTGTCTGGCAGCATTGCGTTCTCCTATTGTGGGCATCTACACAGTATTTCAGTGTACGGCACTCAATAACTATATGGTCAACGCTACTTATTTACGCTTACTATGTAGTAGTGTGGATTGAAGGTGTGGATAAGGTAAGTTCTATTGGGATTAATTAATTGGGGGACGTTTTTATAGGGATACACAATGATCCTATGCAGGGTGGTGATGATGGAGTTGTGGACAGCAGGAACTTGCCTAAATGACTTTTTTTTTAGATTGTTATATTTTCCCTGACTGCATGAATTGGTTATTCTGTCTCTTCTTTTCCCTTTTTTCTTCTTTTCATACTTCCACGTCGTATTTTATCACCTACCATGAATCTTCTTTTTCTATGGTAAGAATCTATGTAACATGGTCATTTCTATCTTTCACATACTTTCAACTTTGTACCGATGATGTTCTTTCAATCACTAACTGCATTCTTTATGAATCTTCAAGACATCATCACTGAGTAACAAGGAAACGGTGTAAGCTCTCTCTCCTCTTTTTACAGTCTTTTCTGATGGTTGAGAGGTTCAGATACTAATAGTCCCTTATATTTTATTTGCCTACGCTTTCAACTATCTGAAGCTGTTAGCATTTATATCTTCTTATTCAGAGTCTTTGTTTGCACCTGACTGTTGCCACACAAGTAGCGCTATCTGTAAGTATACTTTCTTTCTATCTTCGTTTCTACTTTTTTTCTCTTTATGTATCTCGCCTCTTAGACATTGCTGCTGAGTTCTCCTCTTACGATTTGGCCCTCTTATTTTTGCTAATCGCCTTGCTGTAGATTAGCAATTCTTTGTTGTCATGCCAATGCTGCCCCAGCACACCAACCAATATAGCACTTCCCTTTAGAATAGAAATTTTTGCTTAGTTTCATCTCTATAGCATGTTTTTATTTATAATAATCGTCAATCAATTTTTAATAATAAAACCGGTTTCGATCAACCATAACACGTAATTTCACGATCCAAAAAATAATTATACAACCAATTGCCTTGCTGCTTTGATCAGTATGCATGTAAAGAAGTACATTAAAATATGCGATGCAGAACTTTGTTGCGAATTTGACTGCACCTAGTACCCAATCCATATGTAATGTGATATAGAACCCAACCACTACTGCATACATGATATCAAAAACCCCTATTTCCACGTACATGTATGAGCAAATTATCAAGTGGTGAAAAACAGCTTGATAATAACAATCGAAGCTGTTTCTGCATAATTATCAAGCTGTTCAAAAACAACGTGATAACTACATAGCAAGCTATTATCAAGCTATTATCAAGCTGTTTTTAACCACTTGATATTAGCCTACACACCCAGTGTGTGGGAACAGGGCCTGAGTGTTTCCCCTCATTTCATTTTACCTGGGTTGAGTTTGAGACAGATTGGAGGCTGGTGGCTGAGGTAGGTGGAAAGTGTGGGGTTTGTTAGCAGCAGCAGGGATCTTTTTTTTTCTCATTACCATTCGCCATGGCAAATCAACAGCTGCGACGCACACTTGTAAATGGCTCCTACTCTCTTCACGATGAACAAAAAACAAGGAAAACAAAACGGCACAAGCCACGGATTTATTGAAAAACGAAATGAAAGTAACTGTTTTCTTAAGAAAAGCATGTGCTCAAGATTTGTAAGGAGTAGACCGCCGTTACTGCTGCTTAAAAAAAACGCTGGGTAAGTGAACAAGGGAAGGAAAAGGTTATCGGTTGTGCTTGGGGTATAGCTTTAGTGGACATATGCCCATTCAGAATTACTGCTTCTTTCTCTTTTTCTCTGTATATACGTGATGCACCATCTTGCACCAATCCAACGTCAAGCGTACATGCATAATACAACATCGTCCTCTACCTGCACAAACGATTTGTACTCACAACAAGAACGACGCAACAATCTTCTTCTCCATTACTTAAACACAATCATATACAACATGACGCTGATCCGCCATTGGCTTGCAAAACATACAGCCTGACGCGATTACTTTTTTCCTTTTGCATATAACAATGTTAACATCGCCGGTCATTATGGATGAATGAGCTGTAGATAGTAAGAAGGATAACTGACGGGTTTCTTTCCGTTTGTGTTGATATGGATTGGATGAAAATAAAGTATAATGGCCGATATATAAGAAAGACAAAAAAGAAGGTTCTATAAGAGTCATACAAGTGCGAAGGATGTTGTTTCGTGGTGAAGGATGGTTACTGTAATTATTGATATTGCATGGCAGAGCGTCTGGAGCCATGCACGGTCTCGCGTTTGTGAACCCATTTGTAGCCACACAATTCCGAGATGTGATCCTTGAAAATCTGCCATCGAGCAGCAGGAACGCACACGAACTCATTTGGAATGAGTGCAAGAACTCTACGTACAGTCGAGTGAGAGAGAGCGTAGCGAATGTCGTCAAGGGTAGTAACTTGTCGGTTGTTTATAGTTGTTGTTATTAACAACAAATAAAGTTGCTGTTGTAATAGCAAAGAAACTTCCTCCTTCACCGCATGCACGCAGTTTTCTCTGCTAAAAATTGCCCGCTAAATCCTTTTATTTGCCAAAGTTATCAGTTTTCAAAACCAGCGTTAGTCACTAATTTTGTTAACTTTCTTTTTAGCTGGCATTACTCTCTTCCCTCTATTTAGCACTGACTTACGCAGAGCTTATTGCACTCATCTCACAATGTCAACGACCCAATCTTCGAACCACTTTAGGCATTCAACTACTCTTCCATATAAGATTCCCGAAAGGGATCTCTCTGAGTGGAATATCTTCGTCGCGTTGGCTTCGAGGGGAACTCCTGAGGAAAAAAGCGGTCAGTAAAGATATGCCGATACCATGCATTGTAATAATAGTTTTTACTGCAATCGTAGAGTTGGGACTTCCAGAAAGCTTCGAGTTTACCAGCACCAAGGATCAAACTCTAAAGGATCACTTCAAGGACCGTAGCGAAGGTGCGAAAACATATCTTCAGCAAAGGGTGAAGGATGAAAACCAAAAACGATCAGCGAAGCCGAGTAATCCTGATGACCGTGCAAAACTGGCAAAATCCTTGAAGGATGAACTTTGTGCATTGCTGCACCAAATGAAGGAGAAGCTCGATACGGATGCAGCTGTAACGCTCAATAGTGATCATCCAGAAGACTGGGACAACGAAATGGCGTACCATAATTCAGGTACGTAAAGGTGTGATTATTTTAAGCATACATTGAACCTTACTCTGTTTCTAGGTGCCTCACGTCACGCCTTGGTGACAGGCGCTATGTTCTCGACGTTTCAATCCAAATGTAGAGGTGAATATCTGAACAATCCCAACTTGTGTAAATAATACTCACTTAGATCCATTATACCCCTATATAGAGCATAATGGACGTTCCGGTAAGATATGCAGATGTTTACAAGTAGTGATGCTTTATTTTGATGCTGTTATTGCTGATATAGAGTCGATGAGACATGAGAATGGTGCAAGAAGCGCCAAATCTGGACGTTGTTCAAATGCCACGATGGAGAGTGTTGGCATAATGATGCGAAATTTGTACAGTAAGTGGAGTTGATAAAACACCAGACCCTTATTGATGTGGTGAGCATTTAATATCTTTTAGAGGAAAAGACGCAAAAGGAAACGCGCAAATTTCCTTGGGGTGAGTTCAAGCGAACTGCCGATGATGCTGGCCTTACCGCCCATTATTACAACGAGAAGAAGCGGCTTCGATTGGTTGGGTTCGATTTCGGAAAGGATGAAAAAGACCAATACCATCCAACGGCTCTCAGACCGGTATTATTACGGGATGGTCAGTTAGCCCAACTGCATAAAGGGCTAAAAGACGAAGTTGTCAAACTGCTTGGAGATGGTAAGTTTGTAGATCATTTAACAATTGATTTTTGTGATAGAGGTAAAAAGAATAAGTTATTGATTCACGAGGTAGATGAAACAGAATAAATGAGTTTTTTGTTTCTCTCAGCCTTTGAATAGCTTGTCAATAAATTGTATGTTACACCCTTTTTCTTGCTCCTTTTCCACTATTTTTACTTTTTTAATATCTGATCTTTTTCCCTTATCGCAATGCCACCTAAAAAATCACAATATACAATCAAATACAAGGATCATGAAATCCAACCTGAGAATTTCAGCACTGGGTACGAGCAGAAAAGAAACAAAAACGGCGACGCAGTGTTTAAGAAAGGGAAGCCAGTTCTTGTTCCGGTTAGAAAGCGGCTCGCACAGCCAGACGATGTGCAAACTGCACATGCGAGCGATGAAAAACGATTTCGCACTGAGACCTCTTCTAGACCTACGACAAGTCAAGATGGTATGATGCATGTGTATACCATTCATTGTAACATCTAATTATTAACAGTATTGTCGTTTAGCGAGTGCGTGGGATGATTATGCAGAGGAGTATGACGTTGGTGACGATGATGAAATGAATATTCCTCTTACTTCGCCACCCACACGTACCAATCAAGGCCGCGTAGAGAGAGTCAAGGAAGCTTGGGGAGAACTAATGCCAAAGCTTACTCAAGCTTATATTGCCTGTTTTGAGGGCGACGGTCCACAGTACAAAGCGACAAACCTCAACACCGCAGTAGAACCTTGTAATGGATGTGCCAAACCTAAAATGGTGACGCGTAACGTTGATTGCGTGTACATGACTGGTACAGAGTGAATTTGATCAGTATGATATATGTTTGACATTATCCATGCATTACAACTAAATAATCGTTCTGATATGTAGGTATACAAAAGGGAACGCTCATTTATTGCAAACAATGTTATCCCGATGAACCAGTATACCTTATGAGGCATCATTTGCTTGCAGCAACACCCACGCAGCCAGAAATGGCGTTTCACCTCTATGTTTTGGAGTTTTACGCCACGCTTCGAGGGTTTGGACAGACAGCTGTCCAAGCATTTGGAAGCACCGTATCTCACGTTCATGATTTCCATGTTAGTAACGCACGAGGAACAATCATACATTGGTTCAAACGGCACTCTAATTGCGATTAATTACGATGTGTTTATAGAAAGATGAAACGTTGCGTAAAAATCTCGGCCATGCGTTCTTTAAGTATTTAGAGATTGCCACGCTAGTAGAAGAAGAACTGGTATCGGAAAATGAATGGGCAAAAGAAGAATACGGATGTCCTGCGTGTCCTCCAGTAAGAGCATCATTTAATGTAGTATTGTATGTTATTACATAAAGCTGATAAGCATTATATTCGTCGCTTAGAATCGAATGTTTATCGCTATCGATGGCAATATGCAGCTTAAACGTTATAAAGCAAATGAGCACGACAAAGAAAAGTATGTCGAGAAACGGTATTTTTCCGCTGACGAGCATCAAGCCAAGTATGACGATCATACCATCCGTGAAGGAGTTAGTGATGCATCACGTAACTGTGACAGCAGTTTTAAAGCAACCGCAAACGCTTCTCGCGGTGATCCCCTCTGTCATGAAAGTGGTTTAGTAGGAGCTATCTGCGCTCGACATGATATTCCTTTAGAATTCACAAATATATTTGAATCTGGAGAAAAGTAAGTAGTGACAATGTTAACTGCTATTACTCATTGTTTTGTTTCTCCATTTACTTACGATATTGCTTGAAATCGTCGAAAATACAGATTCAAGTATGCCCTTGCCATCATTGACGTCTTATTGCAAAAGCCAGGCGTGAAAATTGAGGCATTGATGTATGACATCGCTTGTCGAATCAAATCAGCCATACGAGTATGTACTGTAGCATAACGATAATTTACTATACTACTTCGAGGGCTACTTAGTGTGCTTTTCTAACATTTACGATGATGTTTGACACATGTAGAGCAATTTTCCCGAGCTCAGGGACAAAAATAACACGAAGATCGCAGTTAGCGTTTTTCACGCGTATGCACATTCGATGAAGTGTCAAGTCGACTATAACCCACGTTATGTCAAAGGGCTTGGCTTGACCGATGGAGAGGGCATGGAGCGACTTTGGTCGTATTTGGGACAGTTCGTTTCCATCACTCGACCAATGAGCGCAAAAAACAGAGTTCTGACGCTTTGTCATGCGATATCACACTTCAAGCAAATTCGTGTTTCGACTTTACGTAAGTTTTTTCTGTAAAAAATAGTATATTATTTAATCTAACAAAGTATCTATTTGCTTCATCAGCGATAAACCTATCACGGCGCAAAAAGCATGCAAACGAAATACTTTTAGAATCACTATCGTATCTTGACAAAGAAGTAGCAGGAAAAAGCAATCAAGAGCTCCAGACTGAATGGGATAGATTCTCCCAAAGAATACGCAGCGATCATGCAGTGCTGCGAACTCAAATGCAAGAAAATGAAGAAAAATACGTCCGAAGTCTTATTATTTACTATGATACAAAGTAGGTTAATTACATAGTCGTCCACACGTAAACCTGTCGATACTCATTATGCACATGGCAATAAGGGATAAATCCGACGCGGTGATCGCAGAATTGAAACAGCCACTATCGCATGAAGAAACTCTTGATATCTTGACGCAGCTTCCTTCCTTTGAAACATCTTACTCAAAAGCTTTAAAAGATGTGAAGTCATTGAAAATAAGCTTGGCATCGAAACCAGATGGACCAGAACTTGTTCCGCATTCATTAATGTGCAAAAGCGAATGTTGGAAAGAAGTCGTGATATTGCCAAAGAGAAGTTGAAAACTATACTTATTGGGCAGACAATGTTAAAAGATATTCTGCATCGGTCGGGCAAGCTAGGTAACGCATAAAAGTTTTAACAAACCTCTAAATACTAATAAATATAATAATAGGACATACAACAAGCTCACAGATGCTTAAATCCGTAAATAATGCAACAGCAAAGGCGAAAACAGCATTAAATAACTATAACGAAGCCAGTAAAGCGCTGAATTCAAGCTTTCAGGATGTGAAGTTCAATGACATCAAATCCTTCGATAATAGTTCATTTTGGGAACCAGATGCGATAACAGATGTTGACTTCCGTGCCCTTCGACAGTTCATGAACGTAGAACGCGCTACTGAGGAGCTTTGGTTGTTATCGGTAAATTTATTTTATATAGTATAAAGACGTTAGATGTGGTTAATGTACTAATTACAATGTAAAATTGCATTTTAGGATGAAGAAAAGCAGCTTAAATCATATGCTTTGAATAGATGCAAGCGAATCTATAGAGCATTAGAAGAAGAAAAACGGGGGGAAGCATATCGAAACCTCATTTCCCGCAAGTTACCAGCGATTGAAAAACTCTACAAGAAGGTGCACGGCCATTCCTGGCAATATTACCAGCAACAACAAGAGCAGTATGAGCATCAGCAGGAGCAGGAAGAGCCTTCGGGTCTTGAGGGGATCGAAATAAACGACGCGGAAGAGGATGACGAGGAGGAAGAATGTCCTGAGGACAGTTTGATTATATCTTTCGCGGATATCATTATGGGAATGATGCGTGCGGAGAGCGGGGAAGAAAGCATCGAAGACTTGCAGCACGAGCTCGGCATCCACGAAGACGTTGACACCAATGATGTGCCAGAGTAAAGACCTGTACTATATGCTGATAATCAATGCTTTACGTCTGTACTTTTCTTTTATTCCGTATTTGATTTTATACGCCCTTACGTACCATTATGTTACTTCTCATATTACAATTATCCAAAGAATCCATTTTCTATAAGCCATTAATTTTTTATATCTCAAAACTCATAAAAGAGCTTATTTTAGTTCTTCTCACATTTTTACCATACAACAATGAGCAAATACAGAACTACCACTAATTTGTCTGTCTGTTAGAATCAATAGATAATAAGCTGTAGTATATTAATCCCATTCATGTTTTTCCTACCAATTATATACATACGATCATACCTTTAAGCTGCTGTATCAAAATTATCTGAGAGTAAAACAACTACACATTGTATATAATGACATACAATAAGCAGGTGTTTCTATCAATTTATGGGGGTGGAAAAATGGCCTCTGGGCAAAAGGGGGTAGTCAGCTAAATTGAAAGTTAGCAACGTTAGTGACTAACTCTGGTTTTGAAAACTGCTAATTTTAGTAAATAAATGGATTTAGCAGGCAATTTTTAGCAGGGAATTCTGTGCGCCAGTGGTGTCCTCCTTCATAACAGCAAACGCCTTTTCTTCTTTGTCCCTGCCATATTATTAACACCGCTCAGAGCTATATCCATGAAGCACTTGTAATAACATGCAATCCCATCTCACACCCGTTTATGCAAACAATTCAAACATAATGACTACATAATGTATGATCTTTTACTTTTATTATTTTATCCCAACCATAACATCTACAGTAACAATAATAAAACACTACATTCCACCCGTCAGCATACATACTGTAACTACCTTATCCATCAAGACCGGCAATGTTGTGTTGGCATATGCAAAAAGAAAGGTAATCGTCGTTGCCATCATGTGTGTGCGACTACAGCGAATTGCAGAGGAGGATTATAGTTGTAGTGGTGTGTATGCATCATAAGAATATAATTATCATCGCGTTGATGTGTATACAAACAGCAAAGAAAGAGATGACCGTCATTACGATGATGATGTGCTTAAGCGTACAAGTATTAAAACAAAAGACCGGCGTCATAGTCGTCATCGTGTAATATGGGCGTACATGATAGTGAAAGGTGAATACGTCAGGCTGTATATTTTACAAGCCAATGGTGGATCAGCATCATGTTGTATATAATTGAGTTTGAGTAGTGGAGAAGAAGATTGTTGCGTCGTTCTTGTTGTGAGTACGAATCGTTTGTGCAGGTAGAGGACGATGTTGTATTACACACGTAAGTTTGACGTTGGATTGGTGCAAGATGGTGCATCACGTATATACAGAGAAAAAGAGAAAGAAGCAGTAATTCTGAATGGGCATATGTCCACTAAAGCTATACCCCAAGCACAACCGATAACCTTTTCCTTCCCTTGTTCACTTACCCAGCGTTTTTTTTAAGCAGCAGTAACGGCGGTCTACTCCTTACAAATCTTGAGCACATGCTTTTTTTAAGAAAACAGTTACCTTCATTTCGTTTTTCAATAAATCTGTGGCTTGTGCCGTTTTGTTTTCCTTGTTTTTTGTTCATCGTGAAGAGAGTAGGAGCCATTTACAAGTGTGCGTCGCAGCTGTTGATTTGCCATGGCGAATGGTAATGAGAAAAAAAAAAGATCCCTGCTGCTGCTAATAAACCCTACACTTTCCGCCTACCTCAGCCACCAGCCTCCAATCTGTCTCAAACTCAACCCAGGTAAAATGAAATGAGGGGAAACGCTCAGGCCTTGTTCCCACAGCAGCAAAATAGGCTTATGCGCACAGTGAGCCTCTGACGCACCCTTGCCATTTCCTGTACATTAGCCTACAAGCTTCTTGTCACGAGTGAAACAGCCATACTACTACATCTTAACATTGGCTTTATACTGCTTAACTTCTATTATGTCTTGACTTGAATTGAAAATCTTAAGTACTCAAATATTCTGCTCTGTTACACTTAATATATTATCTACTTCAACTTTTATTATGTCTTAGTTGACTAAAACTATATCCAGGTTGTCTATTATTTATGTTTAGATTGATTATTATTCTTGTCCAGAATGATTTTCATTCATGTACAGATTGATTTTAATTTTGTCCAGATTGATTTTACTCATGTCCAGATCGATTTATATTCATGTCCAGGTCGATTTATATTCATGTCCAGATCGTTTTATATTCATGTGTAGATCGATCTTTATTCATGTCCAGCTCAATTTTCATTCATGTCCAGCTTGATTTTCATTCATATCTAGATCAATTTTCATTCATGTCCAGCCCAATTTTCATTCATGTCCAGCTCGATTTTCATTCATGTCCAGATCAATTATTATTCATGTCCAGATTAACTTTTATTCATGTCCACTCAGATTAACATTCATGTCCACTCTACCTAAAATCAAATCACTTCTGCCTAAATAAAAGTTCAAATGTATGCTAGGAGATGAAAAATCCTGTACATTATTACTACTACTCAAATACCAAAAGTGATTACTTTTGATATCTTGCATTTTTTCTTTTATTTTTTTTTCCATCATTTTTTTTATTTTCTTTTGTTGAAACAAGACCTTCATCTTCAAAATACTCTTCCATTACTTCTTCCATTATATTTTTAATAGATTTAGTTAGGTTATCTGTATACATAAGTATCTCAGAATTTAATAAGACTATTTTAGTTTTTGCTTATAGATTGGATAGTTATTATTTTTATATTAAGAAAAATTCAATTTTTTTTATATGTAAAAATTAGTTATATGCACGATTTGAAACTCCGGAATACTTGAAACTTTATAAATTTTAAAAAAAATTATAGGTTATAAAAATTTTATTGCTACGGATATACCTACAATGGCATGTATTGTCAGTGTTCCTCTTTATCCTTTGTACTTACAGGGAGTTATTATACCAATCACAATAATAGTTACTTAAAACATATAAAGCACCAATCCCTCTAACTCCTTCCACAATTATTCATCAGCATTCAGCAGATTTGTAATCATAATAGTAATATTGATACTGTATACTTTATCAATCTTTATAAGTTCATTAAAAGGTATAAATACCTTAGATGAATAATTATCATAGAGGTAATCTATCTACTATTATATCATCTTTAAGGTTCTCTCTATGTAGTCTACTCCACCTACCCCACTGTTTTAATTTTTTCACAGACACTTGACCTGGGAAATAGAAATTCCTTTCGGAAAATTAAATAACTGGTAGAGAAATGCCAACCTTTTTTTTTGCTTTTATTCTTTATTCTATATACCAACTCGATCACCTCACATTGCAAGTCAACAGCATTAACAATAGATACTCAACATCAACACCAACCTCCTACTCAAGATTTGTACTATCTGCAAGTGTGAAAATCGGCCTATTGAATTGTTTGTTGGCAAGACATGAAACTACAAAACTTGTAGATTGTGTCGTGAATGTCAGAGTGACGTCAGAAAACCCATTCCAGACCAATTGCTTATAACAATGAAAGAAGTAGAGGCTATGATCCCGTCTCGTAGTGATCTTCCAAATGTGAATGACAATCTTGAAAGGGTACTCTCTCAATGTCTATATTCAACATGATCAGCTGTCGACAATGCCAGATCAGGAGTTTACTGCTGCAATCG